CAATTCAAATGCATGGTACACAACACCTGGTCATTTCACTTGCACTTTGGTAAGCTAAACCATAAAAAATTGTGAATACAGTTTCTCTTCACCTGTGATGCTTTATAAATATAGAAATATTACCGATAGGTTTAACTCATTCAAATGCTCAGTTCTTCTGTTCCAGGATGCCTTTATTAAGATTATATGTATAGAAGGAGTCAGGTCTCTATTGAGCGGCCTTCCTCCAACACTGTAGGTGTTCAGTTACATTTCTGCTGTCCAAACCCTGGTGCCTGCAACCGTAATCTATTTCACATGTTACGATCAGCTATGTGCCGTTCTCAAGCACAGGATGGGAGACCGATCAGACTATGTTAATGCTCCTGTGGCTCAGTGGTAGAGCATTGCGTTAGCAGCGCAAAAGGTCGTGGGTTCGATTCCCAGGGAACACACATACTGGTAAAAAATGTATAGCCTGATTGCACTGTAAGTCAAGCGGCTGCTAAATGCATAAATTATTATTATGTGCCGCTGTTGGCCGGCGCCATCGCGAGATGTACCGTTTATCCCTGCTGATTCAGTGTTTGACCTTTTCTCCGCATGTCGACCTTCTATATCAAAGTGTGCCTGGCTTCCCATGACTTTTTTCTGCATTTGTCAGTGGGGTCGGCTACAGTAATCAGCCCCCTGGAGCTGGTCTGCACAAAGATGCAGTCTGAGAAGCAGTCGTACCAGGAGCTGAGCGCCGTGATCCGGTCAGCGCTGCACAATGAGGGCTGGCGGTCTCTGTGGAGGGGTTGGGGACCCACGCTGCTCTGAGACGTCCCATTCTCAGGTCAAACACACACAGCCTTCACATTACACACTTCACATTTTGAAGCACTTGATTTACAAACACAAGACTCAAAAATACAAAAACTAAGATAAAAACTCATATAAAACTGAATGTGATTTCTGATGGAAATCACATTCAGCTCCAATCGACCCACAAATCGGTTATATTCTATAATCTATTTATATAAGCTTTGATAATAAGGTCTTCCTCATCTAGACTTGTTTGCGAAATGTCCAGCTCTGTATTTTTGCATTACTCCATGTTACTTTGTTGCTCTCATGTGTAAATAATGTAAGGCATTGTAAGCTTTGGACCACTTGTTTTATTTATTTGTTTGTTTTGTTTGTTCAAATTATTCAGAAGTGCCAGGAAAGAAATGTATAATGTTACAAAAAAAATTCAAATACACGCTGTCTTAAATTGTAATAATAGTTCACAATATTACAATTTCAAAAACATTCAAAAAATCTTTCCAACCCCAAACTTTTGAACCGACATGCACCACGAAATAGCAGAATGTTTACCATTTTACCATATTTTGAAGGGGTCTCCTATACCTTCAAACGACTGTTTGAATGCGTATTGTTTGCTGCTATTTCCTAATTTCTTATTTGACTTTGTTTCTCCTCAGCTATGTACTGGTTTAACTATGAGAAGGGTAAAGCCTGGCTCTGTCAATATTACAACTGTACAGATCCAACCTTTGCCATCACATTCACAGCTGGAGCACTGTCTGGATCAGTAAGTTTGTGATTTACTACATCTGTATCATCAGAGCTCTTATGGGCCTCATTTACTGGTACTAAATGCATGCATAAGTAGGGTTCAATGTGATTCAATGTGAAATATCCAGGATGTGTTTGGCCGCATTGTATTTGTATTGTAAATAAAAATATATACACATAAGTACCTGCATTTTCTTACTTTAGTTTGCTTCAGTCATCACACTGCCCTTTGATGTGGTCAAGACAAAACGACAGGTAGAACTGGGTGAACTGCAGACAATGAAATGTGAGTATTCAGGTGAAATTATGTAAATGGATTCCATAATTGGGGGATTCTGAGCTTTGGTTTAACATGTATGTTCAAATCAGAATATTACATTAATGTGCAGTATAATCTGTGTAGTGTCCACACAAGTCTCATCCAGCACATGAAAAGGATAGTTGCTGAAAATGGAGTATCAGGACTATTTGCAGGTAAATGTGTATTCATATAGAACACACACACACTACCGTTCTAAAATCTGGGATCGGTAAGATTAATATATTGTATATTAAAATTGTGAAATATTATTACTGTTTTTAATATATTTTAAAATGTAATTTATTTCTGTGATGCAAAGCTGAATTTTCAGCGTCATTACTCCAGTCTTTAGTGTCACATGATCCTTCAGAAAAAGAAAAAAAAATCCTTCATAAATCATTCTAATATGCTAATATGAAAACAGTTGTGCCATTTTGAAAACAGTATCTTTTGGGGAAATTGTGACACTTTTTTTCAAAAATCTTTGATGAATAGAAAGTTCCAAAGAACAGCATTTATTTGAAATATAATTTTTGTAACATTATTAATGTCTTTGCTGGCACTTTTGATCAATTAAATGCGTCCTTGCTAAATAAAGTATTTTATATATATATATATATACACATGTATATGTAATCATAGGGCCGTGATTTTCAAGTCACCACTAGATGTCTCAGCAGTACAGCTCAGATTTCTCTCTGTCTCTTATCCTCAGGTTTTCTGCCGAGGCTGATTAAAGTGGCTCCGGCGTGTGCTATAATGATCAGCACATATGAGTTCGGAAAAGCTTTTTTCCACAGATACAACCAGAAGAAACAGAGGGTGACACAACTGCAGCCCAGCACGTGGCCTCACACAGAAAACCACTGATTTAGAAGAACACTTGGATCACAGACCTTTGTTAAGATTCAGTAAATTAATCACAGACTACACCACAAATTTCCCCAACATGTAATCACTCTTGCTGTCTGTCTAAAAGAGAGATTAGTTTATAGAGTTGCTGTGAAATAAATCAGTATTTACTTTCTCTAGTAAATATTTAAAAGTAACAGAGTATCTTACACGTAGGTCAAATTATTGAAAATAAAATTGTTTTATATTTGTGTTTTTAAATGTTTTAATTAAAAAAGGTGAAGAAACAAACATATTTTGCATATAAACGCATCTTTATTTATTTTTTATTTTAGGGTTAGGTAAATTGGTAAATTCACACCAAATTTATTCCCATCTGACATGCTTATCCTTGTAATTTTGTTCTATCTGTTTTGTCTTGTTGACTTTTAATTGTAATTGTCTTAGTAGTGTTTCAGTAATTTCTTTTCGAGGTTTATGTTAAATGAAGACAGTGTATGCAAATTGTGCCAAAAATAAGATTGAGGTTTTTAACTGTAGTTAAATAATTGATTTATAATTGTTGATTAATATGTTTTTTTCTTGACCCATTGCCTAAAAAGTGTGAATATTCACAGCTTTTTAAACAATTGCGCTGTTTGTAATTGAATTTCCTTTTTAAGAATTTCCTTCAACAGTGATTCATAAATGATTTCAAATCTCTTTGTCTCAAATTCCTTTATTTAGTCCAGAATATTGTCTCTAGTTATTTTAATTTACACTCATATTGCTTGAACCAGGAGCACATAAGATCTTATGCCATGTGCAAATTTGTAATCTATTTACTTTCCATTTCCAGTGTGATAAAAGAATGAGGATTCAGTTCAGCATTCTGTTTTTTCACAAAATTGCATTTAATTTGTATTTTGATAACTGGACATCAAACACCAAATTAAACCTGCAATGTGATGAGGTTGTGTGACTATTCTGTAAGCTAGTATTCCATTGCACAAAATCAGCATTCAGCCAAGCTTGTATTTACATTTTAATTTATTGAAGAAAAAAAAAAAAAGATCATAGATGAGGACATAAGGTGAAATTTGACTGAATATATTGAGGCTAAATTATAATTAGGTGAATATATGATATTCATCTCAGTGCGCCTTCTTTATCCTCACCCCATTTATTTCTGTCACAGTGCAACAGAAAATTAAAGAAACAAAAGCTCAATCACAAAAACAGATTTCAAAGCATTGAGAAAGAAAATGCATTCAAAAATGTCTAAAGGCGACAATTCTGCAGTGTTTCGAACAAGTGTTAACATTTTTCAAATTTAAAGGCTAAAACTCGTGTAACTGAGAAGTAACACTTAGGTACTGAAATGCATTTCCTTCATTCCACTATACATAAAATACATTTAATTGCACAAACAGTGCTGTAAGAATCCCAAATAAACCTTGAGATGCACATTTAGATGTACTGGCTTCTGAACTAGCTCTGAACAGTGTAAAACATGCATTTCACATGTAAGATGTATTTCTGCAGTACAGAAACGAAGTCAAAGGCAGACGAGACATTCTTCAACACTAAGAACATGGATGTTCAGCCAGGCGATGTACAAGACTATTTTAGATGGGAATTCTGCATACGTGTTTCCCTGGAATTTCTGTTATTACTGTGCTGATGCTAATGAGTAATCATACACACTTCTTAATATCTTCAATTATTGTCATACATTACTCATGGCTTGGCGTGCCTCTTAAACTGACTTTATAAACAGGTCTGTTTTTATGATCAAATCACACTAGTAACACTTGAATGTTAATTTCTGAAAATGATCAGCAGCAGTATTAGGAGTGATCCATTAAATTTAACTTCAAACACAACTCTACCAATTAATTCTAAAATTAAACCTTCCATTGAAATAAAAATGGGTTCAGACTAGGGCAGTCAATTGATAAAAAATTAATTAAATACTGCATATTAATTATGACATTCTGATTTTGTAATCAAATTAACCACAAAAAAAGCCCCCTACACACTGTAAAAAAAATTCTGTAAAATTTACGGTACACCTGAACAGTGATCTCTCGCTCTTATTCATGCACTCTAAAAGAATGCTGGGTTAAATACAACGCAGTGCTGGGTAAAATAGGGACAAACCCAGCAATTGGGCTGTTTTGACCCAGCGGTTGGGTTACTACCCAGAAGGTTGGGTTAAACATTTAACCCAACCGCTGGGTCAAAACAGCCCAATTGCTGGGTTTGTCCCTATTTTACCCAGCACTGGGTTGTATTTAACCCAGCATTTTTTAGAGTGTAATGATGATAACTGCAGCAGATGAGAAAAGCATGGAATGGACATTAAAATATACTGTATATATATATATTGGCTTTGAAGTCAATATATAATTTATGTCCGTCTCATTGAACACCACTGGCCTATAGTCCACAGCCTCATTATACAGTCAAAAACAAAGTGGTACTTTAATCTTGATTTGCTCTGGAGGTAGGAAAATGACAACATTTACGTACAAATTAGAGGAAATGATTAACTTGAATATTGTTTTTCTTACTTTTTTTTTTTAATAATTAATCCCATTAAATTGACAACACTAGTTCAGATGTTTACAGGTGAAGTTAAAGATCTTTGCTTTAGATTCTGAATACATTCTTGTTCCAGTCCATTATGCATCATATTATTTATCATCCATATTATTCTTATTAATTATATAAATGCATGGCAATGCTTTACACCAGTGCACATTAGCCACTATCTGTGAGTGACGGTGGGAAAAAATGCAAAACCGATGTTTGAGTGCAGTATGATTATGTAAATGACAGAACTCATAAATATGTAAAACCTCTCCACATAAGAGGACAGAGTGAATCTCAAACACTTCAGTTAAAAGCCAGAGACGAGAAATAAATGTATACACATCCACATTCAGCACACCAGAGAATTTTCTGAAATCACATTCCTCTTACTCCCTAAAAAGACAAATGATGGCAAATGAACAAAGCAATGTTTGTTGTTCACAATTCTGTCCTAATTGGACAATTCAACAATATTAGGGCTCCAGCTTTTCCATTTTGATACAGATCACTCATTTCTCACAATCCAAACAATTTCTGATGGATACAATTAGATTAACGTCCTAAATATTTTTCTTACTGAATAACACAGCTATATGTTCATGTTAATATTTTGAAAGCGGTGTTAAAAAATAGTTTAAAATGTATTTTACTTGGCATGCTGATTCTAGTTTTTATTAAAGGGGACCAAAATGTGTAGAGAGGGGCCAGATTAATCACAATAATTGATATAATTTACAATGAAATGTGGATTTAAGAGGAGGCTTGCAACTAGAATTTTTTCTTAAAATAAAATATTAAATTAAATATATAAAAATATTTCCTACATAGCTGTGCTAGTATAGCTGTGATGTGCTATGCTGTTTTTGTTTTTTTTATAAACTATAAGTTTCGATGGGGCACTGAAGTTAAATCAAAGTTTATTAATAATTCAGTATAATTCCACACAGGACAAATTTTATGAGCAGAAGCAAAAATAAAACACCATGAAAACCTTTATCTATAGACTTTCCAAAAACAGCAAACATTTGAACTGGGTAGATAAACAAAATTTCACAAACAACTGAAATTCACTGATGTCCTGAGTCAAGACTGTCATTCATCGTGATACATTATGCTCAATATTCACTAATGCTAATGCTTACACTAGCTATGGACTTCAGATTTGCACTTCAAATTAAACTAAAACCAGTCGGGATAGCACTGGGGTTTCATCTTGTCTAGCTGAAATGTCTCTTAGAAGCTCTGAGGATGATACCGATAGGTAGCTTTTCTTTCTTCACTTCAATTTGAAGCCCACACCATCTCAAGCAGGCTGGTGTGTTTGTGTATGCATTTATACAGTATGTCCATACTTGTCTCTCAGGATGGAGTCAGTCCTGGGCTGGTCATGTCTGTTGTTGGACTGGCCAGATACTCGCTGGACTTCAGACTGGCTAGAGATTTGTAACTGGCCATTGAGGTTAAGGAACCACACAAACCCCTCAGAGACGGAGTATCCTCTTTCCCTGTGAAAACACAAGCACATATACACACAGTAGTAGAGTGTGGAGACATCACTGATATCATTTCACACAGGAGCGAGGATGTTATTATTAAACAGACAAAGGGCAGAGCAGTAACCACAACATCTGCGCAATAGATGTATCAATAGTTGTTATTGTTAATTAAAAATAAAACTATAAAAAATTGAGTTGGGTAATTTAAATAAATCTGAAATAAAATAAAAGCGTTAGATGAAAAACTAATAGTTACCAAGGCAACATTTCAAATTTTTGTTTAAGCTTTTAAAGTACTTAACTAAAAACCTAAATAAAAATGCATTAAAGCTAAATAAAGAAAAAAGCGCATAAAACATTACTAAAATATAAACAAAAATTATACTGAAAATATCAAACTAAAAGCTAATTCAAAATATTAATAAATACTATAATAGAATAAAAATAATACTAAAATAACTCTAGAGATACTTTACCTACCCCACAATGCATTGCTCTCAGCCTGACTGTTAACTGATGAATGTTGACAAGTGAACAAACCGAAAGCAATATCAACTGTGATTTAAGAAAATCTTTTTTTTTAAATTCCAATTTAATCGCATTTTGCATTTTTTTAAGACAGTTAACTGTTCTTGTATCATTTACATTTTGTCAGTTTCAGTTCTGCAAAAATAGGAAAAATACAAATACACAAATATTGTAATTAGAAAAATTTATTTATACATGATTTATGTGTTTTATACATTCATTTTATTTGTCCTGCCTGTATGCTAATTTTAAGAGGCGTGAGGACCTCATTTTGAGATTATTTCCAGTCTTAACTTTTATAAAGAATATCTCTTTGGGTTTGAGACTTTAGTCTTTGCAACTTTAGGGATCTTATCTATTTACGAACAGCTTGTAACACTCCAAAGAGAAAGGAAAAATTGAAATCGCATCATATGACCCCTTTAAATTGAAACTCCAAACTACATGAATCATTCTAGAAATGAAAATTTGGGTACATTTTCTAAATAATGTCACAATGCATAAATTCTTAATTGTCTTAAAATATGCCTTATTTTCTTTGAGTAAATATAATTTCCCATTTTTCTTCCTTTTATTGTCTGGTGTCTTCATGAGATTCACACAGATACTGAGGAAGGGATGCTGTTATCTTCCCTCAGGTGGAGAAATGTCTCTTCCAATGCAAAATGGCATCATCTATAATAGAGCTGGTTATCAGAGAATGATGTCACCATAGCTGACTCACACACACATCACAAACCTTCTCTGTGCCAGTGTGTAAGTCCTGCCTTGCTCTCCAGACTGTGTGTGTTCAGTTGTGCTGGATCCAGAGACATCTGAGAGAGACTCGTATCTGCAGAAAGCTGCTCCAAACTCTGGAAGCTTTTCCTGTGGTCACACACGCATGGTTTAAAGTCATGAAATAAGTAAAGAACATGTTGATGTCACAAAAGAAAAAATAATAATATTTCAATATTCAATAGTGAAAATCTAACAAGGATCACTAGTGACAATAATTGAAATCTATACACATGACAGTAATAAAAATCTGGGGAGGAAATGTGCTTAATTGACATGAAAACAATATAATTAACTGAAAATAACATGATATGTTTTCATGAGAAACACCACTTAAGTTTGGGTTACAATTAGAGCAGTCCATTTAATAACCTCTGTAGGTTATCAATACATGAGAATGATGGCTGTAGGAAGCATGCCAATACTGTAATGTGATTTGAGAGCTGCAGACGTGAGCTAAAACTACAGCCTGAGAGCCTTTGCTTCCTGGATCATTCGCTGAGCACGAGCAACTCAACTGGAATCCAATATTAGATGAGTTGTGGTGTGAAGTTGCATGTATCTCATAAGGATGTGCGTGATCTGAGAGGATACTTTCATGAAATACAAAAACAGAAAGCACATACTCTTCCCATGGTCCTGTGCATTTCCTGTACAGGAGCGTATCCAAGGCAACTGCATTGGTATCCAAGGCAGCAGGTGAGGGCCATTGGTTTGTCAGGTGCGAGGTAAGCTCCTGTCTGGAGCGAAGGTCATAGTTCTTCATCACAGTCCTGGAAAAACAAATATTATCATTTAAAGAGACAGTGCTAAAAAGCTGAAAATGCAGTATATATATATATATATATATATATGAGGGCTACATGATCAGTCGCATTTTCATCGCGATCACAATTTCAGCTTCTCTCGATGAATCACAAATAATAATTTTGATACTGGCCAGCCTTGAACCGCATAAACACATTTCATTACACCAAATACACAAAATAATGTTCTTTTTTAGCAACGTCATATGACCCCTTTAACATGAATTTTATTTGACATTGCCGTTATCGTGCACTGGTAACAAGTCTCCACTAGCTTTCATGCTTGGGGTTGCCAAATATCAAGATTTTCCCCTAAATCCCCCAAATCAGAGCTTTTCTTTTAAAAACATATTTTCTGCCCAGTGTTTCACTTAATCCTTCCCAAACAGGCAAAGATGTGAAAACGCTCATGTGCTCAGTGCAGATGATCTGAAAACACACAAGCATATGTTAGAGTTTAGCGATCTCCATTCTGCTCAAATAAAAGTGGCATAGTCTACAGTCAGTCTGCGTTCCTTCACGAGGCCGCTTGTGCTGTTTGCTGCTACTAAATGTTGAGCAAACCTTCTCACTGACAGCTGTAATAAATCCAAACATAAATCTCGACCATATTGTTTGTGATTGAGGTCAGTGAATAAATGCACTTACGCAACCTCTGTGCTATGTACAAAGTAAAAATTGTACACAATTTGGAATTATCAGAATTAGTATTAGGAACTTAACAGCTTTAGCTTTTTAAAAAGATTTTACCCATTTTCATAATGTAAATCAGTTGAAAACTACATAAGACACTTCTGTTTTCAGTGTTTAGCTATTGATGAAAATGGCTAAAAGAAAAAAGATGACAAGTATCGTTTGTTGAAGTCCATCTATACGAATTTGCATTTGTGGAGCAATCTGGACGCTTTTATTTTTTTCTTGGAGCAAAATAATCATGATAATCATTGTGCAGCCTTAATTTATACAGTAGGAAATCAACCAGGCTTGTCTAAATATTTACCTTTTATCATACAACCTCCTGCCCAAACCTTCTCCAAAATCCATCTTTATCAAGTCACTGATCAAAGCTTAACATCTGGAACATGGCATTCAGTGTCAAATATTCTCATCCATAAAAAGAGTCTTTAACCTCAGCAATTGGATTTCAAAACTGACTACTCAGCTGTAAAATCACTAATAGTGGTCTGCTAGCACTCACGGACATCTGTATTGATTCGCCCAGATGGTCCGCAGCAGCTGATACAGAGAAACACAAACAGCTTCTCATGGACTTGTATCTACTTAGATAAACATCATATAACCAAGTACAAGTACTAACTAGCATACTGCACACTGCATAGTATACACTACTGTTCAAAAGTTTGGGGTTGGCAATATATTCACACAATATTCACACAAATATTGTGAAATATTATTACAATTTAAAATAACTGTTTTCTATTTTTATATATTTTCAAATGTAATTGATTCCTTATGCAAAGCTGAATTTTCAGCATCATTACTCCAGTCTTCAGTGTCACATGATCCTTCAGAAATCATTCAAATGTGCTGATTTGCTGCTCAAGAAATATTTCTTCTTCTTCTTAATGTTGAAAACAGTTGTGATGTTCTGGGGAAAAACGAGTGCCAAGAAAAAAGTACATCCAAACAACGCACGCTTTCTACTCCCATCAGTTTCTCCTCTAGTCTTTCATTCACTCCCCCTTGTCCATCAATCAAATCCTCTCTCCGCTTACATGCTGCCATCATCTATTAACTTATTTGCACCTGTCTCCATAGCAACCCTGCTCTGGTCGAGCTTTGACGTCTCCTCGATTACACAGATCTCCAGAGCTCAGTTAAACCATGAACTCCAGCTGTCTGAGAGAATGAGAGGAGAAACGAATCGGAGGACTCAGGAGGCAGAAAACATTCAGACATCATCCGTACTGACACTCTGCAGCCATGGAAAACACTAAAGATGAACCGTTCTTCTGCTACACAGCATCAGATGATAAATGAGACCACCCTGCAAGATAACAAACCTTTCCTCTCCCTTAACAGCACATTTTCATGAGCCTGAATTATACTTACACAGGCAAGTTTGCTAGACAGTTGTGCCACTTTTGCGTGAAGCATTTCAGCATGAAATCCAGTGTCATATTCACTAATCAACCACTGTTCAGTTTAATCAGGTTCAAAATGTGCTGAGTTTGCCTAAAGTATTCACCTATAGTTCACCTAAAAATGAAAGTTCTGTCATCATTTATATATTTCGATAAATATTGGTAATCAAGCAGTTGCTGCAGTCCCTATTTACTTCCAGAGTATGGAATAAATGCTATGGAAGTCAGTGGGAACCATAAACTGCTTGGTTACTCACATTCTTCAAAATATGTGTGTGTGTGTTCAGCAGAACAAAAAAAAATCATACAGGTTTGGAACAACTTGAGGGTGAGTAAAATGATGACAGAATTTTCATTTTTGGGTGAACTATTCCTTTAACACATTGTGTTTCTTTTTAACATGTCATTTCTATGCAGATTAGATCATTTATAGATCATTCAAGTTTAAAAATCACAAATGAAAGCTAAATAGAAAAAAATAAAACTTAACAAAAAACACAAAGGCACATAACTAAATTACAAAAATTTAACTAATTAAACTGAAAATATAAAAACAATATAAAAATACTAAATACAATATATATATATATATATTAACATCAATGTTGAAAACAGTTCTGCTGTTTAATATTTTTGTGGAAACTGTTATGCATATATTTTCATGATTCTTTGATTAATAGAAAACTCAAAAGAACAGCATTTATTTGAAATATAAATCTTTTTTAACATTATAAAAGTATTTACTGTCACTTTTGATCAATTTAATGCATCCTTACTGAATAAAAGTATAATTTCTTTAAAAAAATAAAAATACAAAAAATACAAAGGCACGTAACAAAATTACAAAAATGTAACTGTAATTAAAATTAAAACTGAAAATATAAAAACAATATAAATATACTATAAAAGCACACACACACACATATATACATACATATATAATATATAAATTAACTGAAATTTAAACTAAAAATATAAAAATAATATCAAAAGCATATATATATATGTGTATATAAAAGAGGTGATATATATACACACGCACACACACACACACACACATAATACTAAATTAGCACTAGTTCAAACTTACAGCTGATCCTGCAGCTCCAGTATGATGATCTCCAGCTGCTCTTTCTCCAGTTTGTGGCTGATTTCGGTGTCTGTGAGCCGCTGCAGTAGAGATTTATTCTGAGAGACAGACTCAGAGAGCTGAACTTCCCTCAGACGCACCAGCTCCTCCAGATAACCCTAAACAATTATAATAATTCATGTGATCTGTGTCAGTATTTGCTAGTCTTGCTCCCGGGTCCCCCCCAGGATGTCTCTCTTATCTAACACCCACCTGACTGACTCATCCACTCATCAGTACAGACCCCACGACCTGATTTGAGGGTCTCAGACTAGATACTTAAAATGTGACACACTCAGGAGCACTGAGAATCCCTGATCTAGAAATATTCACGCTCAGTTTAACATTCAAAGTTAATCACACAGAATACAGAAAACTAGAGTACTGCTTACTGCATATGGCACACAAAATACATATACAGTCTATATATGACAGAATACATTATATACTACATACTGTGATGGCTACAACCACTATAGTATTTATGGTAGTCCTGTTTGGTAGGGTGAGTACGGTAGTTTCTAGCCTCGCGTCCTTTATGAATGGCATGGCATTAGCTTTGGAGTAATGGTGGCGTGCACACTGAATGCCAGATGGGTAGCTGTTGTTAGGTATGTGACAATGTTTGATGTAATACTTTTTAAAAGTGTGATATTTTGTATAATCATGTGCATTAAAATGTTTTGTGCAGACGGCAATGATGGTTTGTGCCAGATTTGGAAAACTGTTGTTGTATCTGGTACTAGGTATGTGATATATATATGGTTGAAGTGTATGTTTGTTTTATATTGTGCTGTATTTAAATGTATTGAAATGTGTATTTTTGTATTTATATATGTTATTCGATGTGTGGTGTTTTAAAAATTATTTTGAATGTTCTAGCCCAATAATGAGGGTGTCTTTCTGGCTCTGTTTTAGGAGCTGGCCTGTGTCACTGTTTTGAATTACTATTTAAGTCCGATTATACCGAATACCCTTCCGGTATCAACTTGATACCAGCTAAGCCTATTTATGAACTTTTGTCGAGTTGTTAATAAATGGCGGTTACATGGACGATTTGAGTAGAGAAATCTATTGGTTGTCATAGATAGGCTTTACAATACTATTAAAAAACGTATGTAAACAGCATGCAGCGTGACTGACTACAAAGATTTTTTAACATACATTTTTTAACATACTTTATGTTAAAATTCCTCTATGGTCGTGAAAAACAACACCCTTTTTACCTTGTCAAAAACAAGCGACTCATTTCGGTGCATGTCTCTTTAAATGATAATGAGCTATTGCTCACCCCACCCCTCTCTTCCGTGGGGCGTGTCGTCACAAGAGGCGTGAATTGCTGCCTTGGACTCCGTATATAGCTTGGAGATGGTCTTATTCAAATAGCTAGCTATCTACTTAGAAACATGCTGCAAACTGAAACAGCTCGCTGGATGACAGTTTCAGACTCAGACAGCCCACAACAAACTGGCTGCATTTTTCTATTCAGCTTTTCTGAGCTGGCAGACACACCAGAAACCTAACTAAATGCAAAGAAAGCTAAAAAAGTGAAATTTTCATCCGATGTCCCCTTTAATGCAGCATGCTCAAAAGTTGATTTTCATGCACAGCTAATGAAAACCAAGAAAAGGGAAGCTCACTTTGTGCTCTGGTTGTGTACTATGCATTTTGGCAACTGCAGTAGATGTGGGTATTCTATGCATAGAAAAATTCAGCGTACTGCACCCAGTAGGCTATACATACTGCATAAACAGTACGATTAGTAGTCGCCTCACCTTCTGTTCCAGCACGACTCTGTATTTCTGCTCTAGTCTTTTGCTCTTGCTGTACCAGGTGCTCGGATCGGCCATCAGACTGGCGGCCATGTGGGATTCAGGAGTGCCTGCTTCACTGCCGCTGCTGCCCATCGTTCTCATTTCCTCCTCATCACTGCTGATGCTGTCAGAACTACAGCACACACATAAATAATATTCAATCACAAGCATTAAGAAGGCATAAAGTCTGTTCACAATGCCAGCATGTTTTTATGTAGTGCTCTTACGTTTGTGTGAATTTAAGGTATGGTGTGTAGTCAATGACGACAGGACAGCTCTCATCAAGCCCCTCCCCTTTCAGACAGAAACTGTCAATCAAGAATGAAAATTTCAGCATAAGCCAACAAAGGCACTTCATTTGATGAGAATGTCACGGTGGTAGAGTACTGTATTATGGGAAGTGATTATCCTACAAAACAATACAGAGGCTGTTCTCAGCATCTATTTTTGCGTGTGTATGTGTGTGTGTGTTTGCAGCTTGTGTCAGCAGGTGTTTATAGAGCACCACCCATATAATGAATGATCAGCATCCTGTCCTGCTGTGGCATAGCTGAATGTCACTGCCTCCCACAGAAAGGAAGTGAATGAACATGAACGTACCTGAAGTCAATGGCATTCAGTCCAATCAGTGTATCTGCCAGAAGCCCCGCCTCCTCACCCAGAACTACAGCCCCCTCCTCATAAAACCTCCTGACAAACAAACACACAAAACTGATGAAGACCAGAGAAGAACAATTAGCAGCACTTTTGTATTCTCGGTCATTTGTAGTTGCTAATTTTTTATTTTTTTTTTCATTTTTAAATGTAGATACATACACTACCACTCAAAAATTTGGGGTCAGATAACATTTTTTTTTAAAGAAATTAATAAATTTTAAATTAATCAAAGGTTGCAAATACATTTACAATGTTATAAAAGACTATTTCAAATAAATGCTTTCTATTTCTCTAAGAATCCTTAAAAAATGTGTTTCCACAAAAATGTGTTTCTCGCCATTTCCACAAAAATATTAAGCAGCACAGCTATTTTTAACATCGATAATAATAAGAAATATTTTTTGAGCAGCAAATCAGCATATTAGAATGATTTCTGAAGGATCATGTGACGATGAAGACTGGAGTAATGATGCTGAAAATTGTCTGTGATACTTCCAGGTTTTTTAAGATCATGGGAACCCTGGCATTTTCAAGATGAAGTGTGTAATTTCAGTGTCAGTGTTTCATTGTGACAACAGACTGAATTGCCAAAATACTGATATTTTCCGCCCATCTTCAACTGTTCAAACAGGTAGTCCTGCCACCAAACTAAAACCACTGAGTTAAACCAGACATTGACATGTCGGACTGCTCATAAAAAAGCAATGTTTTGATAGTGCCACAGTGACTTTTATGAAGTCAAGCTATAAATGGCTGATGTCTCTGCACATTAAACTGGTAAGGTACACATGGAAGAATCATTGATGAAACAATGCATTTTTGTAGACTAAAAAGCTAAAAAGTCATATGGTGCTGCTTTTATTTCAGTAAAGTCGCAATGTTTAAACAATCCATGTTGTAGAGAGGTTGACAACAGAGACTCATAAAAAGATTTGACCACAATCAAATATAAGAGTCTCAGTGTGTGTGTGTCTGAGTGCTGCGGAAAGATACCTTGTAGTTTTGAAGTCTCTCAGAGCTGCAGAGATGTATTCAGACAAACGCTTCTCCATTAACGCCACTCTCATCCAGGCACGACCCTGAGAGAAAGAACGAGAGAGAGAGAGAGAGAGAGAGAGAGAGAGAGATGCTCTTACCTGTCAACCACTGAAGCCTTTAAAACTGAGTAACATCACAGCATCTGAGCCGGCTATCTGTCTTAGTTGAGCGCTTGTGACTGAATCATCCAAGATGGATGACAATACCAGATTTAAACAGGACAAGTCTGATCTTTTTATAATTTGTGATAGCATGAGAGTGTGTTATTCTTTGGTGAAATATGACACCAAACCAATGTTGTTATTGTTAACTAAAACTATTAAAAATAATTTCCCTTAAATAAAAATAAAAAATCTGAAATAAAAAATAAAACGTATATAAATATTTAGTACAAAAAAAAATTTAAACTCATAAATATGAAATGTTGCATTGGCAACTATCTAAAATAAAATGAATTTCTAAAATTATTGAAACTAAAACTGAAATATGAATTAAAGCTAAATAATTTTTTTTTAAAAGTAATAAAAATAACAAAAGCACATAATAAAGTTACTCAAATGTAAACTAAAATTAAAATAAAAACTAAAACTGAAAATTGGAAATGTTGCATTGGCAACTAACTGAAATAAAATAAGTTAAAGTACTAAAATTACTAAAACTTAAATAAGTATACATTAAAGCTAATATAAATATAAATTAAAGCTAAATAAAAATATATATAAAAATGACATGTAACAAAATTACTGAAACTTAAACTAAAAATATAAAAATAAAAGATAATTCAAAATAATAATAAATACTATAACTGTATATAAATAATACTAAAATAACACTGCAACACAGACGTGTGTCCTGACCTTTGCTCTAGAGCTGCGGACGTTCTCCATGTTCTCGATGCTATGGATGCAGCTGTGCGGGACTTTACTACACGCCACACGTATGTAATCCCAGAAACTGCGCGGGCTCTCGTAGCCAAACCAGCTGACCTGACCTACAGCGGGAAAACACACACACAATGCAGTGTAAAAGCAGATTGATTCCTCAAGAAGGGCTGTGTATTCATTTAGATGCAAAACTATTCTAGAAGAACAAAACACTGTGTTTTAGTGCAGTGACATTGTGGGTAAATATCTGAGCTAGTAATTGAAAGGGTTGATTCTGACAAGTGACGAGCTCCACAGGAACTTTTAGCTTTTTAAGCCATTTCAGAGAACATACATTAACATGGAGTGATCAAATATTGCTGAAAGTCTGAAAAACACTGATATGTAAGTGAGCGTGAGAGCTGTTTTGTCATGCTGTGAGAGTCGTCTGAGCTCTTCTAACCCAAAATGAGACACTCAGTGCTGTATTTATACCTCATTACAGCAGCAGGAGTGTGTGTGTGTGTGTGTGTGTGTGTGTAGGTCTTTTAACAGCATGTATCACAGCATCACTATGCAATAATGTGTGTGAAGCTTCTGGCACAGCTCACTTCAACAGTTATTCTGAGTGTGTATGTCAGTTCATTTGTTGTCTAAGGCGCTGCCAATTGTATGTTGTTTTTTGTATTATATGCATAATATATTATAAAATTAAATATATTTAAAAAATGTAAATTAAATAAAAAATAAATGAAAATACATACAAACACACACACATATTCTAAAAAATAAAAAATACATAAAATCACTGGTAATTTAGTTTAATGACTACCCTCTCTCTTAGAATGCAACAGGCTGTTTTTTCTACAATAACTTTAAATGTAAATGCCCTATTCACATATGAAATAATAAAGTTGTTTTGCTGTGCTCACACACGCTCAGTGTTTATTATCAAGTCCAGTTCAGTTTGCTAAAAATGTGCCATCTTGTGTATCTTGTTCCTTACCTTTCAGTCTATGGCTGAGAATATGTTCTAGAATGGAGACAAAGTTGATGAACTCAGCAGATGTGTCGTCTATCGTCTCAAAACATGAGCGATCAATGAGGGTCTTCACTGAGAACCTGTGTACTCAAACACACACAATCATGCGCACAACAGAAATTTACACAATACAGTTTAAACTCACACAAACATCTCTAATAGCTAATACAGTAAAACACTGACAAACTTCAGTCTTATAAATAATTAACATTATTATGCTGCCTTCTAAGATTTGGCCATATTTTAATGCATGTCATAATGCATTAAATATCTTTTAATGCTCAGTTATTATATTATTTTTTTATTATTATTAGTTTTATTTATTTTAGTTTTAGTAATTTATTATATAAAAAATTTAATTTTTTTAATTTTAAAGCAGCACTATGTAACTGTTTCTGTGTTCAAAATTTGCTAAATGTATATAATGAGCGAGTACATCATGAATTCATCTTCCAAACCGAGTTTTTGTCTTATTCCGAATCACTACGCTACGCTTATAATAAGCACTTATATTTGGACTATTGTAGCCTGGTGGACTATTTTAGCCTGGTCGGGTCGTCACCGCTGCGGAATAACACATACCTGCGTGAATCGCCATAGACATAAACTTATAGAAGTAGCTCCGGTTGGAATGTTCTTCCGCGGGATGTGTGCAGTTCTGTTTATTAACCGCTAGAGCGCCAAAAGTTACATAGTGCTGCTTTAATTTCAACATTATTGTAATTAACAAAAAAAAAAAAAAGATTTAATACTTTTAGTTTTAGTTAACAATAACAATGCTGCTATTTGGACACAGTGACACACACACAAAAAACCCCAGAAAACTAAGAGTTCATCAAGGAGATAAATAGACATCTAATTCAGAGCTAAAATAAGCTGAGTCTTAATAAAGCTAAAGCTTTTAAAAAACCCTAAAAGTGCATTTGAGTCAATGGAGATGTTTTGTGTTCTGTGGAGAACCATTAGTGACGTTTATTGTGGTCTCATCAAATGTAATTATGGCATAAATGACTGTCCTTTTCATTATCGGCAGCTACTGTGCTTTTATGTGTCTCCTCATGACTTCCAAATACCCAGCAGCTAGGGTTGTAACAATTCACTCAACTCACGATGCAATACTGATTTTTTCTTTTTCTTTTCTTTTTCTTTTTTAACAAAATTAGATTTAAGACCAATTAAAAATGAAAAGATGTCCTTTTATTATTGCTTGGACAAAATGCTGAAAAATTCTTCGTGAAATTGAAATATGAAATTTTAAAATAAACCCCAAATCAAATAAACAAATAACACAAATAAAAGAAATCTCTTCATATAACAAACTAAGGCTTTGCCTGTGCTCTTTCCATTCAGTTATAGGCAACTACTGTATTTTAATCATGATCCAAACAAAGATGCTGAATAGATGCTGCATGAGTAGTTTTTAATCTAAATTAAGACTGTATAATTTCGAAATCTGAAGCAAAACAGAATAGTCTGACTTTAACTTTGTGAAATTATGCTACATAAAACATCTGAACGAGACGGAAACAGCAGAGAGGGTGAATGAGACGCAGATTCACTCTCTGACAGCAGGTGGCGCTCATGGAACAGCAGCGATACAGCGTTTCCTTGGTTACCGCTGTAAACAAAGCAGCGCAGCGCTTATAAATAATACTACATTAATATGCATTATACAGAGTCGAGATGAAAAGAAAATATCCTCTAAACTTCTCTAAAGACAGTCAGTTCCCTCAGAGATAAATTCATATAAACTATGGGGTATACCCCCCACTGTATCCTGATTCCTTTAATATCTCAACCGATTTGAATCGTCACATATTTGTATCGATTTTCAACCGGCTCGCGGTGCATCATTTCATCCCTACCAGCAGCCTTCATGCAAATGTCATTTCAGAGATAATTTCACTTCTGATATTTCCTTTCTAAAACACACAGAGCAAATGTGGGGGGAGGGGAAGAAAAAAATGAGTGTAACTGTTAAATATCATCTTTAAAAAAAACGTACAAATCAAAACTGGTATGAAATGCACAGCAGCATGCCAAGGATTTGCAAACACCTGAAAGCTTATGTGTGCATTATTTGGAATGTTAAAATTCTCCTTCTTATGCCTAAAACTAAAACTATTACAAATTTTTGGTACATTAAATAAAGCACAAATAAAATAAAATATATATATAGATTAGATTAAAAACTAAAACTTGAAAAAAAAGGGAAATGTTGCCTTGGCAACTAACCAAAATAAATAATTACTAAAATGACTAAAAATGAAATAAAAATAAAGCTAAATAGGAACATGCTTAAAAACATTTAAAAAATGTCATAAGCACATAACAAAATTACTAAAACCTAATTGATGATTAAAATGAAAACTGGCAATATAAATATAAAAGTTCATTCCAAATATTACTATAATTGTATATAAATTACACTAAAATAACACTTACAGTAAGTGTGATAATGGTAAAACTTTTGCAGTGTAATAAAGTCATGTGGCACCAATTATATTACTGCTTCTTGAAATGTTTATTGATACACAGTATTTTATGGCACAGAGAGAGATTTGAAAACACTTTAAAATAACCACACAAAATTGTCACGGTCTGATACTCATAAAACCATCCACAGAATTTCTGAAGTAGCCATCCTGTGGCAACTCACGTAGATTAACCCAGCCTGACATTTCAGTTTAGATGGTCCCAAATTCTCTGGACTTCTTTGAAGTTTCATGGCCTTTTTAAGAGCATTGATCTAGAGCAATTATTCAGATTACAATCAAATATCTTCATTCAAGACGTTCTGACAACATGAACTTCCTTTCATAATTCTTTGAACGTCAGAGACTTTCATCACTCAAAAAAAAAAAAAAACCTGCAGTGATTTATTTCAGTCCTGAACGAACTCTGGATCAGATATCACAGAATAAACATGAGAGGAAATGGATTTTGCTTATCTATTCCTCTGTTCTTTCTTCCTCAGACACACACAGTAAAAATCTCTTTATTTGTCTGAGCTGTGAGCTTCGGTCTTACTGTGATTGTACATGTGTGGACACGTCACACTCGAAGCCTTTTGATTGGCTGATTCCTGCTGTGCCCCCTCATGGGTATGACATTCATTTGTGTTCAGACTGACGCTTTTCCTGCTTCAAATGTGCCCTTTGTGGTGTTGCCTAATTAGACATATAAATGTAATTAATCATATTCCAGCAAGTGGCATTAAAAGTTCATTCAGTTTTATTTAAAACAATGTGAATCTGGCAACGCTTTATTACGTTGCTTCTTGCACATTTCTCAACACTTTCAAAGTGAAATGTCCAGTGAATGGCACAAAAGTGTGTTCAGTTTTATCAACAAACAAAAAAAGTGTATTAAAATTGTATCGTTCTGATACTTGAGTTTGATACTGTCTGTTTGAAAATAAACCACCTACACTAAAGTGTACACTAAGCCTACAGTGTTAACAAAAGCAGACATTAGATAAAAATGCATTTTCTAAAGGAACCATGCCATTTTGGCTTGATTACACAAGGCTTTGAACTATTTTATCATGACTCATGATTCACAGGGCTCGCATCGCAAGTGCACTGCTGTAGCAGGTGGGCTACCGAACAAGTCTAGTACGTTAGAAAAGCCATACATGTGGAGCTGGTTATGTGATCCAGACATCAAAGTGTATTAGTTTACAAATCATTGTTTAAAACAAAATTAGGTAGAGGCATGTTTTTCCAGTGAGTCTAGGTTGCATATTTTGCATTTATTGTAGTATGTTAAATAAAACACATTGCATATGCAACAATAAATGTTTTAAACATTGGCACATGGCAAACTTTTATCAAAAAATAAGTCAAGTTGATATCACTTCTGATTCACAAGTCACACTTAATAGAAGGTCAAATTGAGCTCACTACATTTTGGGATACAGTGCCCAGTGCAGTGTGATCTGGTTGCATACTGCACATTTTGGCAAAGGTAGTAGCAAGCCATCAAGGTAAAATACACATACTATATATAGTGTATTCTGCAGAAATAATTGATTGGTATGATAGCATACCAATCCAAACATCCAAGAAGATGTACTGTATCCACTTCCTTCGGCAAAGAGATACTACAACTATATAATCACACAAAATGGGTCACAAAGTTCTCAAGGTAGTTCGCAAGGTTTTGCGTATTTAAGCTCTTCATTCCCTACTAGTTAAAATCCTTGTTAAGTCTCAGTCATCACCAGCTATAAGACACAAGCTTTCCTAATATAAAAACTAACATCTAATAAAAAACTGCCATCAAATGGTGTAAAATATTCATATGTACTCTATCTCTGTTTTTTTTTGTTTGTTTTTTTGGTACACGTACCATTGCATTGTGTTTTTTTTTTTTTTTTTTTTTTAAAAATATATTTTCGCCGATTTACCTTTTTCC